TCATCCATCACTTTCATTCTTCCTCAGGAGACCGGTACTTCTACACTATCGGTTCCTCCTCTGCTTGAAGTCTCTTTTTCCGTTTTGGAGGGGGTCGTCCCCTCCACGAGGTCCAATCCTTCATCAGGTCTTTCGTCGGAAATTTCTTACATCGACATAACAGCTCTTGATGCATTGTTTGCACTCGCTGACGTCGTTGTTTCTTTTGGACTTCCAGCCGCTGGCTGGTACGAGACCTTGGTGCCAAGTCCTTTCTCCAGTATCCGAAGGTTCCCTGGGGAGTTTCCTTCTTGAAGTCATTTCTCCAACGTTGTGCCACTGTCGCGCGATGGGATATCTTCCTGCAGATGGCAGCCAACTTTATCCGGGACGATGATCTCCTCGGATCCAAGATTTCCTGAAGATGTTTCTCCGGCGCCATGACACTCTTGCACGGCGGGACACCTTCCTGCTGACGATGGCCAATTTATTCTGGGGTCCGCAATTTTCCCGTGTCGGATTCTTCTTATTTCATCGAATGCGGCCCCTGCGCCTTTTCTTCTTCGGTTCTCTGACCGGCATTACTTCGGCGTCTTGTATGGGTACCTCTAGTAGTTCTGCCGCCTCAGGTTTCCTGTGCACTGAGGCCGGCTTTTCTTCTTCTAGACGTGCCTCAATCTCTGGGCAGGCCATGGTCTCTCCGACCGGTATTGCAATGGGGACCTCTTCTTGTTGTGCCGTCGCAGGTTTCGTGTCCACGGGGCAGGCCAACGTCTTTTCCTGCCAGGCATTGAAGTCGGCGTCTAATTTCGTCAGCATGCTATCTGCCTTTTCTTGAGTGAATTCTAATCTCTCCAGGAAATCTTCTCTGTCTTTTTTTCTATTGGCCTCCATTTCTTGGTAGGATCTCATGTTGGCGTCCATTCTGTCTTCCAACCGCACTCGGTCAGCATCTGCTTTTGCTTGGTTTACCCTCATCTCTTCTTGGTAGGATTTCATGCTGGCGTCCATTTTTTCCATGTCGCATTTTCTATTGGCATCTGCCTTCACCAATATTTCCATTATTAGTTGAAGACCTTGCTTCTCCATTTTGTAGCAGTCAAATACTCGATGCACAATAATCCAATTATTTGTCAGGCGTGTTTAAGTTCGTAAAAATTCTGACACCAAATTGTCACGTGTCTTGAGATCGAATCTCGCCGGTCACGTGTGTAAGTTCAAATCCCACTTCTGACACCAGTTGTCGCGTATTGGGGTATATAACGCGACAAATAACTTCACGCCATATTTTATATAGCAAATTTTATTTCACATTCGCTCTTACAATCACCCAAATTACAGATGTACGATTATTGCTATCTGCAGTATCACAAATAGTAGACTCCAAAGGCCAAAATACAACTAACTGGTTGCTGGCTAACTCGGAACTAGCTCGGAGGTAGCTCCAGGACTAACTGTGAATAGCCTTCGCTGCTCCTTATGTAGCCTCGGTCCGGACCACTGTCGTCTGGTGCCATGTTGCTAGCCACGCTGTCCGGAGTTGTTGACTGCTGCCTAGCAACCGCGATATCCCTCGGTGACGTCACCGCTGTTGATTCGCTTTGCATAGCTACAAGGTCGCGGGGACTCGGCTAACGTCGGCTCCGCTCGTGACATCACCGCACGTTGCATAGCTACCAGGATGCGGGGTGATTACTCGCCTATTACGCGAGCGCTATATTACCGTTACGTGCAGCTGGGGAGGTAGGGGTCAACATGTCACAATATTTTACTTTCTCAGATTTGAGACTTCCCTTTTCGTCGCCTCTTACGACTCGCAGGGTCACGGTGGAGATATTCGACCCCGCCTCCTGTAACTGTATCTTCCTATGTAACCTAGAGTCCAACATACACAAAACCAGTCACAAGCTTGCGTTGTCACACTTGCTTGAATGTGGGGAGTTCCCACATCACACCCCCGCAGAGATGGTTGCTCAGCTGTTGAAGCAATCAGGAAAATGTACATGACGTCTGGAGTGTGTAGTTCGTTTTACAGGCTGTGGTGGTACAGCATGCGGAACCATGGTTGGGGTTTCATCGGCTGCAGGGTTGTGGTGGTGGTCCCATGGCCTGTCTCATTTAACATGTAGGCAGGTTTGACCCTATCGGTTAACACGGTGACGAGCCTGCCGCGCATGAGGATTTGCATTGTGTTCTCCTTCCGTGATAGGACCTGGTAGGGGCCGCTGTAGGGGGGCTCCAATGCTCTGCGAGTCATGTCCTGCCGGAGGAAGACGTGCGTGCACTTCTTGAGGTCACTGTGCACGAATACAGTTGGGAAGGCATGGCGTGTTGCTGGAATTGGTCTGAGGCAGGCCATATATTGGCGAAGTTGGGTGATGAGGTGCGCTGGATCCACTGGCTCGGCAGTTGGAGTTAGCAACTCTCCTGGTATTCTTAGTGGCTCACCATACACTAGCTCAGCTACTGATGCCTGCAGGTCCTCTTTGAATGCTGTGTGGATTCCAAGGAGAACCAGGGGTAGGGCTTCTGTCCAGTGTTGGTCTGCGTGGCACATGATAGCTGCCTTTAGTGTTCGGTGGAAACGTTCCACGAGTCCGTTAGCCGCTGGGTGGTGAGCAGTTGTTCACGTGAGTTGAATGCCACAGAGCTTGGCCAGGGAGTGGAAGAGTTGAGATTCAAACTGACGTCCCTGGTCGGTGGTGATGGTCTGTGGGCAACCGAAGCGAGATATCCAGCCAGTCAGTAGGGCTCATGCCATTATGTCGGCTGTGATGTTCGGAATGGGGATGGCTTCTCGCCAACGGGTGAAACGGTCAACTGCAGTGAGGGAGTATGTGTAGCCTCCTAACGTCGGAAGGGGTCCAACAAGGTTTATGTGGACGTGAAAAAATCTAGCTGCCTGCGGTGTAAAGTCACCCAATGGAGTCACTGTGTGACGGGAGACTTTGGAGCACTGGCAGGATTGACAAGCACGTGCCCAGGTGCGGCAATTCTTCTGCACGCCTGACCACACGAAACGCTATGTGACCAGTTTTGCCATTGCTTTGGTCCCTGGGTGCGATAGATCATGAACGGACTGGAACACTTCAAGCTGTAGAGGAGCTGGGATGTACGGCCGAGGTTTCCCGGCTGAGGTATCGGGGATTGGTAGCTTCTCGAGCCACAAAGCGGTGTTTGACTGCCGAAGTGATTGGAGCTCATCGTCCTGCGATGCGGCCAATGCGTTGTAGGATGGTGGCGCAGTGACGGACTCGACGAGGGAGAGCACGTCGGCAACAACGTTGTCCTGTCCCGAGATGTGTCGGACGTCGGTCGTGAATTGTGCTATGAAATCCAGGTGGTTAAATTGCCTTGGTGAGCATCTGTCCCTTTTCTGCCGGAAAGCGTAGGTGATAGGTTTGTGGTCTGTGAAGATGCTGATGTGGTGCACTTCCAGCCTGTGGCAAAAGTGCTTTACGGCCTCATAGATGGCCAGCAGCTCGCGGTCATATGCACTGTATTTTTGCTGGGCCGAGTTGAGTTTCCTTGAGAAGAATGCCAGGGGCTGCCAGGCGTTCTTGACGCGTTGCTTTAGCACGGAACCCATGGCGGACATGGAAGCATCTGTGACGAGTGCAAATGGTGCGGATGGATTGGGGTGAGCCAGTAGTGTGGCACCTGACAAACTCGCCTTGCGCTCTTCGAAGGCACTGTGGAGCTCTGGTGTCCAAGTGATGGGGTGGGAGCCCTTGACATTGGGTCCGGAGAGGACGTCGTGCAGTGGTGCCTGGTGTGCTGCCACGTGGGGCAGAAATCGTCTCTAGTAGTTCAGCATGCCCAGGAAATGGCAGAGCTGACTGGCGGTTTTGGGAGGTTGACATTCCTGGAGGTGAGTCACTCGTTCTTCCAGCGGTTGGGAGCCTTCGGCAGACACCTTATACCTGAGGAAGGTGATCTCAGGTACTCGGAAGACGCACTTGATGAGGATCCCATACTTCTGCAGTCAGTCGAAGAGTGCTCGTAGGTGTTGCTCGTGTTCCTCTAGAGACCGGGAGAAGATGAGGATATCATCCAGGTAAGCGAAACAGACGTCGAGTCCCCGTAGAATGTCGTCCATGAAGCGTTGAAAGGTCTGTGCGGCATTGCGCAGGCCAAAGGACATGAAGGGGAACTCGAATAGGCTGAATGGAGTGGAGATGGCCGTCTTCTGTATGTCTTCAGGGTGGACAGGGATTTGATTGTAGGCTCTCACCAGGTCGATCTTGGAGAAGACGAACAACCGAAAAGCGGTGGGAGTAGTTGTGGATATGGCGGACAGGGTAGCAGTCAGGGATGGTTCGGGAGTTGAGCGCTCTGTAGTCTAGAACTGTAACTGTATCTTCCTATGTAACCTAGAGTCTGACATATACAAAACCAGTCACTGTCCGTATTGTTGTGGGCTTTGCCTAGCACCCGCTGTTTACTCGTCGTTGTTAAGCAATGAAGCTTGCGATGTCACACTTGCTTGAATGTGGGCAGTTCCCACAAGAGTATGCACGCAGCAAAGATCAATAAATTACCTATTTACATGGAGAAAACAACAGTAAAACTCAATCTAACGGGTTGATAATATATATTACATTAACGCTTGTAGCTTATCTATGAGGCTGCCGAGGGTAAAACGTAATAACCTCACATGTATTCAATAGACAAAATAAGAAGTCAGACAGCACAGTATGGGACCAGAGCTCTGCACTCCATGCTGAGGGTTTTTTATTGCTAGTGGGGTGGGACTAAGTCCCTTGTACTGCGGCCACTTCTGGCCTATTCAGCCCCAGATGATAGGTGAGGATGATTGTGGAGCAATTGGTGGAATGAAGACTGGCAGGGGAAACCGAAGTACTTGGAGAAAACTTGCCCCAGCACCACTTTGTTTACCACAAATCCCACTTAACCAGACCTGGGATCGAACCCAGGCCACCACACTGGGAAGCCAGCGACTAACCGCTTGAGCTATGGTGCAGCCTCATGCTGAGGGGTTAATGATAGCAGGTACTTACTCTTCTTCCCTTTGAAATGCTTTCTTTTCTTAGAAGTGCCTGAAGGTCCAGATGCACATGCACCTCCTTCTAGACCACGAAGATCTCCAAATCGGGTGAGTTCATCACCTAAGGTACCAAGAGTGGTCATTTTGCGAGCCTTGTGACGCTCTTGTTTTGTTGTTGGGAGTCTCGTAAAGTAGCTCTCCTCGTACCTGTAAAATAACATAGAGCATGTTATCTGTAGTGCGCTGCAGTGAACTTTAGTCAAGACCAAGAATGGAAACAGGAGAATGGATTATGATATACCACTCTCCAAGTTCTTATTTTAAACTGCAAGGGATAATTGTGAAATGGCCTCATAACACAACTTCTTTTTAATCTACTTCTTTCTCTGCATGAGATATGCAAAAGGAAAAAGTTGAATGTCAATAACATAATTTTATGCAATAAAATACTGTTCATTAGTAAAGCATACTAAAATGAGGGGAATTTTTACCTTTATACTATTAGGCCATATACAATAAATGCAAAACTGGAAATAAAATGCTTCAAACATGTTACGAAGTTTTGAATGCCAAGCTGAGAGCATACTAGAACTTTTCATATCATAAATGTTATGAGTGGGCCAGCGAGGTATGTATATGTATGTCCTTCTTCTTGCTGTTACATCTATACAGAATTAGTGAATCAGAGCCTTTTTTTTTTTCTAAGTTTACTTTCTACACCTGGTCGCACTCAAGAGTACAGATTTTCAAAATGCTGTCACTTACTCCTCTTTGTGCCGAAGTTGCTGTACTAGTGTGGCCTTGGCTACATCACAATGTGACACTTCCAATGGACGATCAAAGTATTCTTCTTGAAGCTCCTGCATCACTGAGCTCCCTAAGGCTCGTTTCCTGGCACGTTCCAGCATGCGTTGCTGTTTCTCTGCCCAGCTCTCGTCACCATCTGTATATGTCACACAGGCAAATGTCGGAAATGTCTATGGTCCTAACTCAGGAGAGAATCTGCCTCTTGGACAGACCAGACAATCAGAGAATAAGCTCAAAATGCACTCAAATAACTATTTTAAAGTACTTGTTGGATGCAAGAAAGTGAATATACACCATGTAAGAGTTTAAGCATTAGCTGCCAACCAATCAACAGCACTCAATCAAATCATCACACAGAAGTCATGAAGCTAAATCTCCAATCTCAATATCGGATTAGATGTCATCATACCGCAATAAGCCGCTGGAGACAATCCGATTTGGGAGAAAAGAGAATCAATCCTTATAATGAAGTCACGGAAATAAGTTGCACGGGTGTTGGGGATGACACAGTTCGAGACTTCCTTCTTTCTGCTTAATGTTTTATTCTGTTCCAGCCCTCTCCGTAAGAGGTTATCAATACAAACATTCCTGTGAGTGGAACAGCTAGGCAACTGAAGGGGCATGTAGACAATTAGGTTGGAGCAGGAAGCTTAACAGCCTGAGAGTGAGGTGGTGAGAACTGACCCAAGAAATTTCTTTCCATGGCCTCAGTACAGTCAATCTTTTCACTCATCAAGTTTTTATTACATACTAGCTGTACCCAGCCACGCGTTGCTGTGGCTCAGTCTAACGAAATATTTAAATTCAAACGCAGATCAATCGACACAGCTCAATCCCACCGCCAATTGCAATGAAAAATAAGGAGAACACCTAAGAAAACGAAATGAAAAACAATGAAAAATAAACTATACTCATGAAATGAACGCTATGGTAAACGACACAGCCCAATTCCAACGCAACGTCACACGAAATAACATAATCAAGATGAAAATAAATCGAAATCTATGAAAATCCAATTTATATTTATATAGATGTAACGTGTTTGGGCACATCACGCAAGTATTTATTGGTCTTTGCTTTTACACTTATACACTTTCCATGAATTGCCACTTGCAGTATCAGAACTAATTCTTTTTTCGCTTAGCTCCTGGCCCAGTGCTTTGCTGCCTATTTTGTCGTGGCTGGATCTCGACTGTCTCTGACGGCGGCTTCCTGCACGCTGTTTATATTCGGCGGTAGCGTATTCGAATGCAACGTTGTGTCAGCTATTTATACCTCGGCGGTTGCTATACAATGAGCCTTCTGTTGTCTATCACTGGGGAAACGCTGCCCGTTGATACTGAGATACCTACGCAACGGCCAACGGTTGGGGCTACAGACTCACTTCTTCGGTGGTTATTCCAGACTAACTGGGCGAATGAATTGAACACCCCTTTTATACCCTCGGCCGCTGCTATGCAAATGAGCCTTTGTTATAACCGTGGAAACGGTGCTTTGTTCATTCTGCATTTCCTATGCAACGACCCATTGTTACTGCGTTGTCTCTGTGGGAACACTCCGTGTATTCGTCGTAACCGTGGAGATACGATGTTCTCGACTATAACCGTCCTACTCCACGTTGGTGCCACCTTCCTTCTCTTACCGTCCTTTTGGCTCATTGGTTGCTGGTTGCAGCTGCTCCTCTAGCCATTCCCTCTCACCTGTTGGTACTCCGAGTTTGCAGGCTGCTGCTGCTGCGTCCTTCTTATCCAGTTCTGCTTCCCTTTTTGTTGTTGTTGTGGATAATTGTTTGTGGAATATGGGTTAAGTGAATGCTGGGCGCCAGTAAGCTTACTGTGTAGGCTTACATTTCAGGAGAAAGGGGGGATGAACCAGAAACTGCAGGTGATGGGTACTGCATTCGTACTAGAGTGATGATATTCTGTCTCAGGGTGCATACGGGCCTTGCGTCAGCGGGAAAGATAAGAATGTTTATAGCTAGGCACTACCGCACACTGTTTAATGAGCAGATCTTGATATACATGTAACAGCACTTGTCCTTAATCCCTTAAAACACCTTGAAATCACTCAAACGTCAGTGACCGGATCCCTGGCTAGTTATTTAGCGACAGCTTCTTTTAGCACAACACATGGGAGTAACACTTTTGCTTAAACTTTAAGACAAAGTAAGATTCACATTAAATTTTGCAGAGTTATCAGGGATTGTTCCCGTAACACACTTAACATAATTCTGTTTTCACTTCGACTTTTTAAACCAAACTGCCAGTGACACTAATGTTTTGGCTGTACACTTGGAGAGTTGTTCAGAGACTGCTTTAGCAGACTGACTCTGCTTTGAAGCAAGAAATCTTCACAGCTTCAGCTCCGCCTCCAAGTCACTACCCTAATTTCGGCTGATTGGAACAATTCGAATTTGGGGAGTTAACCATAATTCTCACTGCTCCAATCACCTAGCTTTAATTTGGGACTTTGGACCTTAAAGTCCTAACATCGTTTTTGACAGCTGCTTGAAAAATTATACCAGTAGCGTGGGTTGCTGGCCATCCCACTTTTGACTTACGGGGTTCAAAACCTGTCAAGCGTAACTTTACCAAAGGATCCCGCCGGTCAACTTTCGAACTGAATTTCCAAGAAAACTCTACGGGGTGCTTCCTGCCTGGTCTTTGTAGCAGTGAAGCAGGCCCTATTCTTGAAACCATGAATTGGGCTAAGTCACCCTTGAATGTTCCTTACTACATCCTATGCTTAATTACCATAAAAAGAAATATTGATTACAAACAAAGCTGATGGTGTCAGTGGTACGGCTACATGACACAACGGCTCACTGTTGGGAAAACAGTATCACTATTGTTACTTCCTATGCAATGGTCTGTTCTTGCGTTTCCATAGAAGCGACTCTTCTGAATTCCAAACAGGTTACAACGGATGTTGTAATGTTTTTCAAAAGACACATGTTTTTACCTGTCACAGGTGTGACATGTATATAATAGGTCTATAAAAACGTGCGCATTCGAATGCAACGTTGTGTCAAAATTTTGAAGCAATCGGTGAAGAACTTTCAGAGATCTTCGAGGGGTAACAAACCAACATTAACGTTTTTATTTATATGGATTTTATGCATTCCTTCTGTAGATTTTAAATTTGCATTTGTGGATGATATATTAAAGATTTTGTAAATTTCTTAATTAATTTACTGATGTTTGAAATTTTAGTACATTCCTTTAAAAACTATCTGAATCACTAAATGTTCTGACGGACACTAAATACATTTTTAGAACTGACAATATACATTCTATAGTTGTACTTACTGAATGGGCTAACAGGAATTGCGCAAGCTATGTATGTCTAGGCATGAATGTGTTATCAAGACATGCTACAGCTAAAGTGAGTTCTGAGAGCTACAAGAGGCCAGATAAAGCACCATTTAATATTCAGAGTATCACAAAAATGTATAAAATTTACTTACCATAGTGAACAGCAGCCAATTTAGGTGGAACATACACTCCCTTCTTCACCTTGCCTTGTTTATCATCTGATTTATCATCTTCACCTTCTGATTCACTTTCCTCTGATTCTTCCGCTTTACTAACCATGTTTTCTGGGTGTGCACGGAAGTGAGTTGGGTCAGATCCTCCAGTAGAGCCTGTAGCTGCAGTCTTCACCAATTTGTCAATTTGATGCTTCAATTTATGATCAATAGGGCGCATTTTCTCCAGTACTGTACGTATTTCAACAAGGTGATCTGGACATATCACAATATAACAGATTGAAGATTAAACCATTCCTACTCTACTGGACACTGCTATCCTGAGACTGTTTCCACACTTTTTCCTACACATCGACATTTCACTGTATGCAAAGTAAACTAACATCAGGACTTCTAAATAATTTGCATACCTCAAATTACTACCTGAGGCCACCAACAAACCAATATTTTCACCACGATGTACACAAAAATCAGCTGCTTGAAATAGCTGCATGTTAATGAGACTACCTGGGGTAGACTCCTCCCTAACAGAATAGCAGTCACTTAGCTGCTCATGAAATTCCCTATATTTTAATGGAATTCAAAGGTTTTTACACATTCACAACAGCCCGCAAAAAAATCATAAAAAATAACTATCAATATTAATGACAAGAGCTAGAATGGTCACTGGCCTAACAGTTATGAAATATTCTAACTATGCAAAAATGTTAACACAATCACAACTTAAAAATTCAATATAACATACATACATACATATATATTTGCGTTTCTTTAAAATTTTCATAAATGTGCCACCGGCACAAGCAAACAAAACATTGGACACATTCACAAATAAAATCACTAGCATATATAATCCATACTTGTCAAAAACACATACAACAGTTAAAAGGCAATAGAAATTGCAGCAAGCATATATAAGCACATCCAAGGACATAGCGTTTAGTGAAGTGTGCACTGTCAGACACCCCTTTTCCTTAGCTGTAGGTCTTGACAGAAAAGCAATAATTCCTCAACAGTATAAGAAGGGTTTAAAGCAATACATCCTTTAGTTTCCCAATAAACTGTTTTTTATTATGTACGAACTCAATTAAAAAATCAGGCAAACTATTAAAAACCTTTACATGAAAATATGAACTATATGAACTATAAGAGAAACAGTCAAATCTTAAGATGTACGTACAAATGTTCTGAAAACTACACAATGGGAGTTGCACATGAAAATGTTACACATAAATCAACAGTGAAGCTAATAACATACCTATAGCAGGATCTCCCTCAATCATTTTACCAGAACATTTACGCAGGACAACATATGTCAGGTTGATGAGATAGCTCAGAAGCATGTGATACTTCATTTCTAAAAAACTCAAACCCTGCAGTATAAATGAAGGCAAAATATTACAAAAAGCAGTAATATACACTGAGAACACAAAATGTATTCCTCGTAAATTATTATGTACTTCCGTAATACTGAATATTCAGGCTCACTTTATCTGTTGAAACTTCTCCTCTTTTCACCCGCGCCAGCATGTTGTCAACTAACTGTGTAACTTGCTGAACACTCTCATTCATTTCTCGTAAAAGCTGAAATGCCTGAGGCAAATCTCTGGATATTATTTCATCTAATGCCTACAAATAATACATGCACAATTAGACATAAACATCAATACACATAAACTTAATTACTTACCCCTCCGTTCAATACGGACCGCTATTCTTAGATATCAATTACAATCTTTTAGTTTGTAGCTTATTTTCAAAGGTAGAAAGTGCTGCCATTTTCCAAACCACAAACAAAATGTTGGGAAAGAAACCACGAAAAATCGAGCAAATTAAAAACCATTTATTATAGCATACGACTATGTATACTACAAATATTATATGTTAATATTCAAGTTACATACCTGAACCATCGTTCTGATTGATCATAAAAACCCTATAAATTGCATTTCACAAGTAAATAAGTACAAAATACACTATCCCACGTGGAGCACTCAACCACTAGCCATATTTTTTCCCCGTGCCGAGTTGTACGGCGGAAGTCAAGATAAAGTAGTAATGAGTTAAAGAAATATATTCTCGTATTGTAAGGCTGTCCTAAATGTGAAATATAAATTATAGTTTTAACAGTACAATTAATACTTCATAAGGCCTCAGTGAAATTATTTTAATCAATGATATTGATACTTCGTTCAACCAGTTTCATGAAAACCAACAACCAAGACCTAATATTCCTACGTGTCTGATATGGTTGATATTTTCGTTCGATAGTCGACTGCAATAAAGTCGATAAGGATATCGTAATCTTGGAAATTTGGTGTACACTGTTGTAGGGTTGGGGACGTAGCAGTCGGCAAAATACCATCGATTAAACGTCCAAAATGGTAATTGTCATTTAAAACCGTAATTATTATACTGACTTTCTTATCTTGGACGTAGCATGACTTTATACTTTCGGATCTTAATAATTATTAACTGTTGTTAGAGGTTGGTATAAAGTTTATAACCTGTAAAAAAACGCTTAGGCATTTGTATTTATGCTGTTAATACAGCTACTACCTCATCATTCCAAAGGTAAAGCAACTGAATGAATGGAAAGGATTTTAGTCCATGATTTATTTAAACCGTCTTGCAGTGCATA